GCCTCATTTGGTGACCGATTATTGCTCACACCGTTGAGTGGTGTGGTTTGAGTGCCAAAGTGGGCCCTCCCGGCTCTAGTGGAGACTTTACCATATTCTTCTTGGCTGATGGTATAAATGGGCGGATTGTCTGACCGACGACTGATGGCCCCGCGACTGTCCATACGGTACCGATTGGCCGGATAATCGGTTTGGGCGTACGTCGGCACTACACTCTTCAATGGAAGCTCCTGTGCCGGCGGCCCATTGGTCTGGCCCTCGATTTTCATTATATCGGTTCCCGAGTCTTGCTTTGGTTTTCTTAACTATTTATAATTATACGGAATTTAAATTTAAATTTATTATTAAATAATTGTTTATATAAATGCGACTATAGTTACAATTTTGCGTTTGTTAAAAGCATACATCGATGTATAGCCCATAACACCCATACCAGCGAATACTCCCACAACAGACCCCCAGTCTAGCAGCTGGAGGGGCCACAGACCAGCACCGGCTGCCAGTGCCAAAAGACCCTCCACACCCATATCCTATTTATTTAACAATCAATATATAATATAACACCAAAGTTAGTACAAAACATAATTAAACAAGATGTTAATAAAATTATATAAATTACAATTAATGTTGACAACAGTTTAATGAAGTAATCACTACTAATTACTCACCACTTTAAACCATAGGACTGGGAGAACTGTATCGGGGAAACCACCGAAACCACTACATGTAAACATATTGATCACGATTATAGTTAGTTTACAATAATATTATATACATTATACTTTACACTTACATAACATATCGGGTCGCCTCCATAAACACCGCCACTTGAAGTCCTACCCTTCCCCTCAACGGTACGCCTAACGACTATAATAGTAAATAAATTGAATTAAACAGTGTATGAAAAAGTTGCAAAAAAACAGATTTACACAATACGGGTGCTCAACATACGGGGAAAATATCAAAGTACGGGTCGTGGTCTTCAACCGTGGGATTCAGTCCGTCGACAGAGTTCTTGATCTTATCGCTGGCGTACAAAAAATGTGGAAAAGTGAGGGCTAAGGGGGCGCCGAAATAGCAGGTGCCCAAGTGGTACACACCGTCGCACATGTCCGGGTCGTTGGGTGTGAAACAGAAACACTTGTTGTCCGGATTCTTTTGGGGTCCGGCGAACATCGCTTCCGGCAGTACGAACCGCATAGTAGGGATGCCCACCACTCGACTCGGCTCCTTATATGCCACGTAAATTGACCTTATTTTGGAGGTTTGGTTTAATAGTCAGTTAATTTTTATACACATGTATGTTTTAAAACCACTTGACCGTAACTTACCGACATAATTCTCCATTATAGATATAGACCTTGGTGTCTTCGTTGAGAAACTGGCCCAGAGTGGCCCCATCGGTGCCGTTAAACATGTTGCATTTTGGGTTGTCGTATGCATCAAAGCCTAAAAGCGTTTTGAATGACCTAAACAAATAATAATTTTATTGTAAATTTCAAAAGCAAACATTAATAAAACATATTGATAATACTTATTGCCTTTGTACGCGATAAATTTAGCAAACTTAGTGCCCCCAACGCCGGTGTATACCTCGTACGGTCCGTCGGGTGTACCGTTTTTGACGTTTAATAAACCAAACTTATTGCCCGGCATACGAGTGTCCGGCAGTTGAATGCCCAGCCATAGCAACGGTTTGGACAGTAGCTCAACGGTGTCCATAAGCCGAAAGTGGTAGCCCTCCAGTAACTCCCGGGGCGTCCGCTTCAGCACCACTCCGCCCAAGCCGTGCGATGCGATGAGTAAATTCATTGAGCCTAATATAAACGGCTCTATGAACCGGGAAAGTGGCACTTTTCGCACGTAATGCCGCACAACAGCTACCATTGCCTGCAAAACACAATCATATATACGTTGTAAATTGTACATGTAATATTATACAATATTTTTTATAATTTAATATGAATTGCTAGTTAATCATAATTTGAGTAATATTTACGTAAACGGGAATATTGAGAACATTCATCTTGGTATTATAAGTGGGATCGCTTTTTTCTGGATCAAACTCCCAGCCCATTGAACTCCAGTATTTCACAGACTCTCCGTTGTTCTCCCAGGAGATGATGTCTTTCCAAACGCTCATACTTTTTGGTATAATTAAAAAAACTTAAATGATCTAGGTGAAAACAATAAATGAACAGGTTAACATACGTAAAAACATAAGGGCCCATTTCCTTGACCCGGGCTTTGGCCCCCCGGCGCCACTGATCGGCATTTTCAATGTGAAAGATAAAAATTTGTATGTCGA